AGAAAAAATTTACCCACATCAAAAAAAATCTGAATCAAACCTACCGCAAAGCAGCAACGAACTGTGCTCAAGTAGTGCTAGACGGCGGCAGCAATTCACAGAAGACAACACTGTTCCAGTTGATGACATGATGACAAATCTGCTTGATATCTTCAGATAAAAGATCGGAGAGGAAGATTATAACGATTTTATATAGTCATAAATGCAGTTCGTAACTGCTTAACTCAAAAACTGTTTTATAAAAACTGAGCTATTCTTGCATGCAAAAATGGAAAGCCAAACAAACACTAATTATTTCGTATAAAACATCTTTTATTCGACAAGAGACACCATAAGAATCGAAACGTGAAACAACATGGAAAAGTGCGACAAGAGCATAACAAAGTTAATTATAGAGCGAATTTAAGAGTATATGGACACTATATAAAAAAGATTAGCAAAAATGAACTGCTTCCATGAAATGGTAACATACAAAAGTGCGAAGAAGCAAATACAGACCTGGTCGCGCATCTTACATATTCTGCAAAGACCGCAAGCGTTCTAGAGACTACATAGAAGGGAATACCGTCGCAATCTAACACATAACCAAATTCCTTTAAAAAGGCCGGCTTTTGATACTTTGCTCACAAAAGTTGACATTCTCGATACCCTATCGAAAGCCTTTTTCTCATGTCAACATTATTATCAAGCAACTTGTTAGAAGTGGACGCGTCAAAATGATCTTCTTACTGCAGGGATGGCATAAAACCTATAAAGTATATTGGCTCATTCATTTCGCTCAAGCATGCACACGAGATACATCAATAACTAATTCCTTAGCTTGTACCAGCTAGATATTTACTCGAGTGCCAAACATATGATAAATGAAGTCAACTCAATAAACTCACTCAATAGTCAATAAACTCACGAAAGTCAAACGATAGGTTGAGCAAGACGGTTTTGATAACAGTATCTCAGAAGAAAAAAACTGAAAACAAAACAAAACAAGGGGAAAAAGATGACTGCGAAAAAGCTGTTCATTTCCAAACTGCAATCAATGAGGTGAACAAAGAGCTGCACTATTAGTTCTCAATATAGCAAACAGAGTAAAGGCGCAGAAGAAACACAGATGATCCAAAAGTATGAAGCAAAATTTCGAGATGAACGTAGAATCACCGCCAGCTTGCCAGCTGTCAACACTTAATCTTAAAATGGTCAAATCCTGCAAAGAGGTCTACAATGCCGGAGCAGTTCACAACAGCATACATCGCATAATTGGTCGGCAGACGAAATCATCATGCAAAACGACCACGGGAAGGAAACTGCACATCAAAATCAGGTGTTACTCCAAACTTTTGATACATTGCAATCACATCTGTTTCTGGATGGGATCCTCTAGAAGCGTGATTGGAACGAAGTCAGTGTTGCGGGACAGCTTTAATTGAAATTTCAAGCATACAAACTAGCCAACATCACAAGGAAGCATGATATTATAAGAACGGCACATTGAAAAAAACCATATTCACGAGTCCCTTCTTATGGTAGATGGGACCATAAATAATAGGTGCAAACACAAAAGGAAATGCCAATGCGTAAAAGAATGATGAAGAGAGGATCATTATTCCCGTAGCAGCACAAAAAAAAGTCAACTGCAACTGATCTAGAAAAAAAAACAAACTCAATTCCCTTCCCCTCGAATCCATATGACTTTAACAACTAAATCCAGTAAACAAACTAGAGGTGGCAAAACGCAGAACATATTGAGCCCATGATTTTGTTAAAATTGCTATACAATCTCACAATCAACTTATAAACAGTCATAGGAAACTGAAAACGTAAGACAACATTTGAAAAGTAGAAAGCAATAGCGTTATTATATTAAAAAATAGGTACCTCGTAGTTAAGTCATATAGGTTAGACTTTCCTGCATTTCAGAACTTGCAAAGATGAATTGATATAATCTCACAGAAACCATAGTAACAACATTTTGTAACTGTTTCACATGATGTAAACTTCAGTATAGTCTCTTCAAGCATTCAAAGTTCGGAATAGTTTGCACCCGAACAGAATTGGACCGGTGCATTTTGAGATGTTTGCAATAAGAATTAGCGAATATGATGAGCCATAAAATTCAATTAATGTCGTCTACAAAAAAATAGGTCCAGTCGATAGTCAAAACGCTTTGACAATTTCATAAGGTGGAAGAGTTTCGAAACATAAACAAAATAAAGAGACGGATTGTATTTCATCAGAATGGGACCATTTTCTATCAAACCGCAGTTCGTTCCACATTGGACCCTACTTAACAACTGATGCCTATATTTCGCTTCAAGCTCAACGATCCCTCTTTCACACATATTTGGAACTGATTTCCTTATTTTTGCATGCTTCTTTAGACGCAAGAGTAACGGAATGCCAACATTTGATGATTAGTTCTGACACTTATTAAGACAAGAAGTAAATTTTTGTTGATTTCGATCGAGTAAGACCACGCGCGCAGCCAAAATGCAGATATATGGTTG